TTCTGTGTGTGTGTGTGTGTGTGTGTGTGTGTGTGTGTGTGTGTGTGTGTGTGTGTGTGTGTGTGTGTGTGTGTGTGTGATATACAGTGTAGTCCGCTTAAACCGAAATATGCAGGACCGTCGAGTGTTTTTCGATTTTGACATGTTTTTAATTTTGAACGAATGCTCGAATAGCGGTGATTGTCAACAACGTAGAGTTGGGAATGCCATGCATACCGTGATTTTCACTTTTAAACAAATCTATCTTGTTTAGTAACTGGAATTTTAGCGACATGATTTACGAATTGCACTTTCTCTTCGATATTCTCAATTTGCTCAATCTGCGGAATAGTCACTGAGAACAGACGAAAGATGAGATCAGCACACCGTAGGCTACTGTGCTCTGCAATGGGCTAGAGAAAGTTTAATGCCAGTGTCGACTTGAAACACACGGTATGCCATCATAATTGCCATGTGTTGGGCATATACCAGCTGACCAGAAAAAGATTGCGTTCAAAGAAATGTTAATAACTTTCTTGTTTATAACTCAATTGGCATCACAACTAACCGAAAGCTAGAACATGCAATATTCGGATTATGTAAAAAAAAAAAATCAATTGCTCTTGCACACCGGGGAAAGATGATAATGCAGTTCACCCCTGTACAATGTGCTTTTTCAGTTTAGACGTATCAGCAAACAAAATCTCCCAAATCAACCAATGCGTTAGGTTCAGGAATACGGAATGGATATCTTTAACAAACAGAACTTTCCAAGCGAAAGGTTCATTTCGTAATGGGCTACACATTTGAAAAGGTTTTGGTTAATAGAAAATAATCTAAGTCCTAGGTAACTCACGGTAGGCAGTTATTGAAAACATATTATTCAAAGATAGATTTGGCATTGATTACAACATGTTCGGAGATCCTTGCTAAATGGCAGGCTCTGTCAGACCATGGAAGCAATCATCTGCCTTATTCCGTAATGATCAATGGCCACGAGGGGAAGAATGAAAAATGCAAGATGAAAAAACCATTCAGATATGGAAAGGACAGTGGCTCCACTGTGCAGCAAAAAATAAGGAGAAAGGCTTGGGTATTACACGCAACTAAATCCAACTTTGTTCAGCCGCCTTATCGGAATCCTGTGCTTGAAGAGCTGTGGCTATAGAAGAGAAGGTCAACAAGAGCATGGCATAAGGGGAGGAAATCAGATAAGGTATCAGACGAGGAGAAGAATACTCTCAGAGAGCGGATGAAAAGAGACGGGCGGCTTTTCAGGGAAAGTGCAAATGAGGCCAAGCAGGAACAGTGAGAGCAGTACGTGACCGAGGTGTCATCAGGGAAGGCACTACATAGGTTCTGGAAATTGCACAGAAAAATGAAGGGATTAAGGACTGACGCTGGCTCTCTGTCTGTTAAAGATGAGAACGATAGGCTACTGGAGAAAGATGAAGCAAAAGGCCGGGCTTTCCTTGAGAGGTACATCAAGCAGACTCACCAAAGCAACATGGAGGAGCGTGCTAACATCAGGGCAATTATGAAAACTGCTGTGCCAGAGGTGCTGTATGGAGAGGGTGTCACAATACAGGAAGTGAAAAGGGTAATAAGCGGAACGAAGGATAGTGCAACAGGGCCTGGTGGGGTGAGATACAGCCATTTTAAGGATGCAGATGAAAAAGATCTATAGGGCATGGTGGACTTCAACGAGAGTCTGGCCAAAGGCAAGATCCCAGAGGAGTGGCTACACAGCTACCTCATGCCTCTTCCTAAACTAGGCAAAGACCACTCCAACATCAAGGGATACAGAATCATCACCATGCAGAACACGTATGGAAAGATCCTGGAAAAGACTGTGGACAAAAGGCTGGCAAATTACCAAGAAAAGAAAAAGCTCCTCCCAGACGGCCTTGGAAGCTACATACCAGGGAAAGACACCTGCACAAATACAGATGTTTTAGCCTTTGATGCATTTGAAGGGTTCCAGAGAAAGGAGGAGACAACAATGGCTGCTATAGATCTAGATGATGCTTGCAACCGAGTTGATTACGGCATGCTCATGGATCTCCTGATAGAAATGGATGTTGACCCCTGGTTGGTACAATGGATCTCCGAGACTCTGTTTGAGAGGAAGGTGGCGCTGAGAAGTGGGCGATGCTAGTGATTGTCTCAGGACTGCCACAAGGATCAGCCTTATCTCCGGTTCTGTTCAACATACATATTGCCAGGATCGGCGTAAGTGGAGCAGGAAGAATCCTATTTTTGCAGATGATGTGATGGTCTACGGACAAGGCCGTGATAGGCTAGCGGTTGGACGGATGCTACAGGACAGGAAGGCAAGGTCGCAGATTGGTGTGAGGAATACATCTATCCAGACAAAGCACAGGTCATTTGGTGCTCACTCAACAACCGTATTGTGAAAGATCCTACGCCTTCAAATGTGTTTGACCACTTTCTCATAGACAGACGGCATGAGTTGAAAGTACCTGTAGAACACTCTGGACAGGACATTTTCTTTCCGAAGACATATTGACAATGTTGCTTTCAGGGCTCATAAGGGCATCAATGTAGTGAAGACCTTGGTTTCAACGGGAATTCAACAGAGAGTTCTTATTCTCCTAATGCAGCTGGTGGTTCTGTCAGTCATAGATTATGGTCTGGGCATCCTTTCCCTGTCCAAGACTCAGACAGACAGGTTGGAGAGAGTACAGAATGCAGCTATGATGATCGTTCTGGGTTGCACAAAGGGCACCCATGTTGTCTGTATGAGATACATCCTTGACCTGGCCAGCATCAGAGTGAGGCATAAGGTGGCACAGGCAAAGCTGTACTTGACTGTTTTGGGAGACCCGAGGCACCCTTTGCATGACAACTTAAGCAGCATCAAAGGAAACAGGATCAAACGGGGCAGCTCTTGGATGGCAGAAGCGAAGACTCCTTGAGGAAAGTTTGTGGCATCGATGAAATATGCTGTGGAAAGGAATGGTTTGAACTGAGCCCCGATTGCAGAAGCCTGGCCAACATTCACATCACTATGGGACGTGAAAGACAGGAATGTGCTGCTGTCATAAACGACAATGACATACGAGTACTACAGTTCATTGAGGAGCATTCCAAGCCACAGGACCCAGTGATCTACACTGATGGATCGGTCAGAACGGGTGAGAGAAGTGGGTTGGGTTTTGTGGTGTACTGTGGGAACAAAAAGGTTCACAGATGCCAGGGGCCATAAAAAAAGAACAACTTTAAGCATGGAAATAGAGACTGAGGCCGTAACAAGAGCGCTTGGCTGGCTTCAAAATACAAGACCAATAACTACCAATATTATTATTAGAAAAGGCTACTTCGGAGTGAATGGACGAACCCAATACAACACTCATTACTTAGAGCCATCACGAGGATATTCTGTTCCTGGGCACTCTGGAGTGAAGGGCAATGAGGAGGCTGATAGGCTGGCAGGCAGTGCCGTGGTAGATGGTGAGGTGAAATGGGGACAGAGAGGGGAGAAGGAAGAACGGAGCGATTACTTGGAAAGGATAGGCGTCGCCATAATCAGACAGCCACCGGAACAATCAGTATGGATACCCTGCGGGCTTTGGTGCTGGGGGGAACTGAGCACTTACTGACCTGTCCGGTGTGCAATGAAGTTGTTGCCCAGGACAGGTAATACAGGTAATAGTCTATGAAAACAACGCACCCTTTCGTGATTCGGTGAACTCTGAGCCATACCATGTCATCTTATCAGAGTTCTGGAGGAGCTTGAGACTATTAGTTGAAGATGAAGGGAAAAAGAACTAGCACTTCCACCAAAGTAGAGCTGCTCTGCATAACGCAAGAACTGTCCTGGGCTGGGTCAACAACCAATTTGGTTATAGGACAGTCAGTCCGACTGAGCACAGCTGAACCCCAAACGATCAGGACTTGAGCCCACTGGAATGCCACTGTTGGGAGTGTTTGTTGAAGGACACGATGTGTGGGAACATGTCTGAAGTATCCTAGACTTAAGAGGATCCATCAAGGAGAGCGCGAGAGAGATTTCTCACGGGCAGTGTTAACAGTGTATCACTCAGCCCAGAAGAGCTCTGGCGTCGATTTCACTCAGCGTGGGATTCACTCGAAATTGAGGATATCTGGAAGATATTTTGTAATTTGGTTTGTGGCCGTCATATTCTATTGTAATGTTAGTAATATATGTACTTAATAAATCAGGATGGATGTTCCACGTTTCTGCAATCTTTGGCTTTTGTACCTTTAATTATAACGCTTTTATCGACGTTCTTTTAGACGAACTTTCTTCAGGTCACCTGGTATGAACTAATTTCCTGACCATCAGAATGTCGCGCAACAGACACACATTCGCTGACCTTGCATCACAATGCACAGTGTTTAGTCCCTCATTGATGTGCGATAATCATGGGCAAACAGCAAGCTGTCGGTGTCTCACTCTGTCCTGCAATCGACACATGTGCCCTCATATTATGTCTCTTTCTTCTGTTTCGCAATCTTGAAGTGCGTAATCCCTATTGTTTTGTGTTGTCTAGAGAAAACTTAGTCAACATAGCCCCCAAAATTATTTCGGTTTAAAAAAGGGAGTATTTTGGCTGATCGATTCTTTTGTCACAACGTCAAACAGGAAAAGAAATGGAGGATTTTATATCCTTTCAGTTTGTCGCTGTTTTCGGATAACCGTTTTCGGTTCAAGCGGACTCCACTCTATGTATTAGCGAAAAGAATGTGTTATGCGATTATACACACACACTCACACACACAGACACACACACACACACACACACACACACACACACACACACACACACACACACACACACACACACACACACACATATATATAATATATAAATTTATATATATGTGTTCAGAGACAGAGAGAGAGAAAGAGCCAGAGAGATAGCGAGAGAGAGAGACAGACAGAGAAAGAGACAGAGAAAGAGAGAGAGAGAGAGAGAGAGAGAGAGAGAGAGAGAGAGAGAGAGAGAGAGAGAGAGAGAGAGAGAGAGAAAGAGAGAGAGGGAGAGAGAGAAAGAGAGGTGGGGGGGTTGACCATTATTTCAAGCATCCTTTATTCGGAGTGAGAAAAGCGGATGACGACAACGGCAGTAAGTTAAGTGGAACTTTTCAGTGAAATAAATGTTAACTGCAGTTTTATAAACTGCACGGTGACGTGCGTCACAAAACAGTCAGCGCGTATTTATAAACGAGATAGGCGGGGCGGCACCGCACAATATGGTTGAGTGGTGGGGGGGGAAAAAATAGAATGGTTTTTTTCTTCTTTTGGTTGCGGCCCCCGCTTTACTCCACTTGACTAATTTGAACGACTTTTTCTTTTTTTCAGTTGGTCTCTCTATAACATTTAATGGGGGTGACCCCCCCCCCCCCCAAAAAAAAACAACCCAACAAAAAAAAACCAACAACAAAAACCCCACAAAGAAACAAAAACAAAAACAACCAACAAAACAATCGAAACAACCAAAACAAATTTAAAACCCCCCCCCCCCAAAACCCCCCCCCCCCCCCCCGAGCCCAACAATACAATGAACAATAACAAAAAACAAATAGAATACTAAATAAGCACAGCAAAATTCATGAATTTGGAAACAGTAGCGGTTAATTCTCGATGCTGCGGCCAAACAGGTGTGATAGTTTTTAAAAAAATAGTTCGTACTGACTTATGTTACGCTACAAAGCAATTGAAATGCTGATGGAAAATGTTTGCAATTTATGGAAAGATCATCGATTAGCTGCTATTAACTCATCGAAGATGTTTCAAATAAAACTCTCTCAGCTTCGATGATGATCTGTTCCGTGGTTGTCAAAGATTCTAAGTGGGTGGTTTGTGGGGCTCTGGAGTGGGTTACTCCTACTTTCTTATTAAACATCTATCTTCTTTATCTCTCCTCCTCCTTTTCACGTTTGTTACTCTCCTGTAGCACTTCTGATCTTTGGCACTTATATGACCTTATTGTGTTGCAAGTGACACAAAACTCTTACTAAAACAAAGCAATAGTTCCTGAGCGCTCAGCCTTAATATACGGCGTTCTCCCCAGACCACCTTTATAACAGAATCGGTTATAACAAAATTTCTGCTATAGCAGGTTTATAGGTAACCGAGCCCGATCCCTTGAAATGTAATGTAGTGGGAAAGTTCGTTTATAGTAGACATTCCGAAGAGTCAGGCTCGACTTTAACAGTGGTCCAACCATCGACATTACCTGAACAAAATACCGGCCAAGAAAACAGAAATAAAGGAAATGAAGCAAAACAACATATATGGCGAATCGTACTGTGACCCACAGGAGGCATTAATCTATTTTGTTGTGTCAGTCATAAACCAAATTTCAAAATTGAAATAATTGTAGGACTACAGTGAGCTACAGTACAATAATATTAATAGCCATTAATTGCTATGGAGTAGAAACTAGAATAATAATATAGTGAAATAGTTTAACTCGAGATTACCTGGATACCTGTGACTCAGATGTTTACGCGTAAGGACCCTTCATCTTTCACGCTCACAAGCAGCCGTTGCACATTTTGCCATATTATACATTCCAGTCCATGTTCTCGTGATTACAACTTGGCAATTTCACAAGTAGGATAAATCATGATCTACCAACATAACTCATGAAATAAATTCTTTATCTACCCATGGAGCCAAATTTCATTACACAGCATTCTACTGTGATAAAGGCATTGCGAATGCAAGGCGTACGCGATAGTAAAAACACAAACTGGAAGTACCATAATTCCGTGGAGTGTAAAATCGTCCTCATTTGATAATTCTGATATTAGTATTGCTTCAGTCAATGTCTTTTCGGTCCGACAGAGAAAAGACTAACACAATAACACCACCTTAGTATAAGATTTCTTGCAAATATATTGGATCTTGGTGATAAAATAACTCCCGGCTCCTGTAGGGAGCGGGGAACTGATGTAAGCTCGCCTCTGTACCCTAGCAAGCTGAGGAGTGTATAATTAATGACTGAACAACCCCCTGACGAAAACCTGCTTTGAGTCAGCTGACAACTCTTTTACACAGCAGCGGAAGCAAAGACGTCAAAAACAAAAACAAAGCTAATGACGGGAACGATGCAAACAGCCCCAGCAACAACATCAACAAACTCGCACTAACAACCTTATCAT